AATTTTAATTTTAATTTTAATAATGAATTTGTATAATACTAACCTTAGTCTTAAGTTGTTTACTAACAAACTATGGATAACTGTTTTGGTCCGAAATAAATGGTATTATTATTATTATTATTATTATTATTATTTAAACCATACTCAAATCCTGACTTGAGCATTGAGTAGAGTTCTAGAATACGACACTTAGTGCCCAGTTACACGAAGGGAGAGATGAGAGAGACCGCCTAGTTACCACGCCTTCATGTACGTTAATGGCGAATCTGAATTATATTTATTATGCAACAACATTTAAATTCCTCTCAACAAAATTACCGCCCGGTCGTCGTGCGGGCCGCCGCGTAGACCAAATTCAAACCAGGCTAGCCCGCGTGCCCGGAACGCTCATTTAAATTAAAACGTAAATGCTAAACAAATAGAGCGTATTTTGCCATGACAGTTAGACGCACGCGGCCCTTAACCGTTCATAAACCTAGAAAAAAACATCATTAGCTTACACGTTCCCGGTCTTGTACCGCTCGCATCCAGCCGCTGCCGGCCACCTTTCTCAGGTCGTCCGTCCACCTTGCAGCCTTTCCTGAATAAGTCTGCTCTATCAGCGATCAACCCTCCTGCAAACATGCCCGGTCCACTGCCACTTAAGCTTACTGATTTTGTTCACTTACACTTTACACTTTAGTTCTTTGGCGTATAACCTCATTAGGTATTCGGCCCATTAAAGAAATCCCAAGCATAAAGCAAGAAAAAAATAGAAATAGAAAATAATAATATATGTTTCTTTGAATTTCAATCAAATAATCAAAATAATAACCAAAATGCAACTAGATCAAGAAAAAGAAATAGATTACTTGGTTCTTTTACAAGTTTGCAGATTCTTTCTTCAGGTACATACATAAATGGGAATAAAATTTACAAAAAAATTTAAAACTAGTGGAGTAATATCGCAAACGGTTTACGTTGGACCATGTTATGAAATAAGTAGAATAGAATAGAATACGTTTATTTGCCAGAATACATTAAATATACAGATCTTAAATTAATTTAGGTACAATGTATTCTACCTGCAAGCAGGTGTGCAAATGTAATGGAATTTATATCTCTTGTGTACTGTTAATTGCATATAATGTTAATTAGTATTTGTAAAGGCGAAATATGCTTTATTACTATAGAAGCAATATGTCAAAACCCATTTTGTCAATTGTAGTTTAAAAGCTTAGAATAATAACGCATTTAAAAGTACGTCCTTGTAGTAATTTAATGTCATTTGGTAAATTATTAAAAATCTTGATGCACATGTTGAAGCAGTTATTCGTATGAATTTCTTTATGGCAGCGAGGTTGGTATAACTGATTCATAATTTTAGCTCTAGTTTGTCGTTGAATTATTTCGCCACGTATTTTGAAATGTTGATACCTAGTGGGTCTTGACAAACTCACAGATATCTCTAACATACATGCTGGCGAGAGGAAGTATATTGAGTTTTTTGATCAAGGGTTTGCATGTGTCATCTGGTTTAGCGCCGCAAATTGCGCGTAGTTTTAAGATCTTACAACGTAAATAAGTAATTGAAATGAATGTATAAATTACTCTATTTTTTCTATTGGTCTTATGTTCTCAAGCGGTAGTATACTAAAGAATGGTTGCTCCCCAATTGACAGTTCGAATCCCTGCAACGGCATGGCTACCTATGACCTTGACTTCTAATTTTTATTAACATTTTGTTAATGTTAAGTGGCAATATCTCTTACTAACGGCAAAGGAGTGTTCTTTCAACGTCTCAAAGAAACCTACGTGTAGAAGAAAACGTGTGATATCTCCAAGCCGCACGCATATCGATGCCTTACTTTCTCAAACTCGTATCTCATAAAGAGTGATTATTCAAGAGATGGAAAATCTTTCTATTTATTTTAAATTTAAATTAAAGTTATTACCTTGGAATAATAACGCATAGGATGATAGTTTCATTTCAAACGAACTGTCACAAGTGAGGCAAAAATCAAATTCATGTAGGCTAGTTTTAGTAGTAGGTTAATTTTCGGTTTTAGTGAATACTTATATAAAAATACAAGTTGAAACGCGTTACTTCCTTGTGGAACGTGATGTTAATATCTACATATTTTATGTTTGTTTGACGTCTTTTTACACTCATTTACCGCACATTTCGTCATTTTTAGCTAAAATTCTTGATCTGTTCGCGGTGCAAGTTGACCTTGAGCACTGTATGAACCCGCTCGTGTAGGCCCTTTGGGCGCGCTTCAATTTGCCCCACTTAGCAAGTGCGGACTAGGTTTCTATGCGTTATTATTCTAAGGTTATTACATTACTTTAAGAATAGGTAAAAGCCAGTGAGTGAATATGAAGGAAATGTGATGTGAAATTAGCCTGCAATATTTGTATACACAATCTATTTTTAGTATTTCAGTAATTTTGTTCCATCGAGTATATAACCAGAAATAGAGACGAAATGTCATTTAATTTGTTTGAAAACTATTCTGCCATATCATTACTGTAACCACTGCGCTCCGATTGGCTAACCCGAGTTCGAAACAATTGACGGGTGTCGTCAATGGGTGTCGTCAACTGTTTCAATTCAAATCGACCAGTTAACTAGAGCTTTGCTATAATGACCGAAAATTGCAGAATTACATATTTAATATTTAATTACCGATGAAATGTGATTCCGCTTGTTTTGTAATTAGATGTTTTGCTGTTTTTCCCACACCACCGAATAGAACAGCACGGCATTGTTAGAGATATTATCTTTATTACAATAAATACAGAATATTTTTGGAATATACGGAGACGTACGCACAGGTCAGTAATTGGCCTGTCTATATCTCAGTGCATAAACTTGTAGATAATACACATAATCCAACTAATATTTATTAAAAATATTGTGTGATAAAGTTGAATGTGCACGCCATTACTGACCAAATTGAAATGCTCCGAGAATTCATGCAGAAGCATCAATATTTTGACGTAGTTTTCTGCTACAAATTCTGAAGGGAAATAAGTTAATCACCATATTATTTACGGGCTAGCAGGATCCACCAAGACTACCTCCAGCAAGTGAAATCGAGAAGAAGATTGAAAGTAGAATTGTGGTGCTGGAGAAGAATGCTTGGGGTATCGTGGACAGACTTTCGTTCAAACGCCTCCAGACTCCAAGAACTCGGCATCAAGCAGCGTCTGTCTACTGTGGACACTACATTGCGCGGAAGGTCACCCATTCGATGGACCGATCAAATAAAATCTGCAGTGTGTGGTCCTTTACACGAGTGCACGAGGGAGTCCACTAACAGAGAGAGATGGCGAGATGTCGTGAAGCAAGCCACACCAGCCGTTAACAAACGTACTCCGTGATGACCACGACCACTCTGTCAAGAGTGATACGAAAGAGAAGAGAAGAACATATAAAGGCAATTACGGACAAAGACACATTTGGTCTTCTGAATGTTTCAATATTTACCAAAACCTAAATATTTCATAACGTAAATCTTAGAAATCCATTCGAAGATAATGCGGATATAAATGTAATACATTTGGCAACGTTACAATTTGACGTAGCTAAGCCTAGGCTTTTGTTGAATGATGAATAGTTTACCAAACTACTGTAGATAGATAAAACCTCTATTGACTTTGATGAAAATCATAGTTATATACAAATAATATCTAAAACTACC